TGCCATTAAGCTAAGTTCCCGGCCTCTTCATTTTATTTCTTATAATTTATTTTTATTAGTACATTTGCAGTACATAATGATTACATTAATCACGGCATTGGGACATGTATGTAACATATCATAATTTTTTTATCTTCCCCTTCCCTCCACTCTTGGTCCCTTTTGCATTTCGAAAAGAAAAACAACTATTTTAATATGAACATTCAGTTGGATGTGATGATGCTATGCCTGTTATCCCAGCACTTGGGAAGCTGGGGGAAGAGGACTGCCATGTGTTTGAGGCCAGCCTATGCTACATAGTGAGTTCAAAACCAGCCTGAACCACATAATGAGACCCTATCTTTAAAAAACAAAACAAAGAACAATCAGTGACACTTCGTATATTCACTGTGCTGTAAAATCACCCACTTTACCTAGTTCCAAAACATCTTCATTACCTCAAAATAAAACCCATACTGGACAAGCTATATTGCCCGTTTTATTCCCTACCTATGCTAGTGCCGGGAATGCACCAATCTGCTTGTTTCTACCTACTCCGGACAGTCACATAAATGAAGTTATACAGCTGATGTAGTGTCATATGTCTGGAATTTCAGTTACTTGGGAGACTAAAGTAGGAGGATCACAAGTTTGAAGCCAGTTTTGGACAATTCAGCAAGATCTCGTCTTCAGATAAAATTTTAAAAGGATGGGGGGGTGTAGCTCAGTGTTAGAGTGCTTGTCAAGCGTGCTTGAGGATCCGTGTAGGGTTCCCAGTACTACCCCCCCGAAAAAAAAGTAGGATACGTGATTTTTCATATGTGGTTTCTTTCACTTAATATAGTGTTTTCTAGGTTCATTCATATTATAGCATATATCAGTATTTCCTTATGTTTTATGGCTGAAGAGGATTGTAATATATAAATATATCACATGTTGCCATCCATTTGATGGATAATTTGGGTTTTTCTACCTTTTGACTGCTATGAATAGAACTATTAAAAACATAAGTGTACAACTACTTCCTTGACTTTTTAATTCTTTTGGACATAAACCCAGCAATGGAATTTCTGGCTTGTATAGTAATTCTTTGCTTAACTTCTTTAGAGACTACTGGACTTTTTCACAGTGGCTGCACCATTTTACATGCCCATCAGCAATGAATGAGGCTTCCAATTTCTCTACATTCTTACCAATACCCATTCTTTTCTTTTTCTGAAAAAAAAAAAAAGAAAAAGCTATCCTCATGGGTATCAAGTAGCACGTCACTGTAGTTCTGATTTGCATTTCCCAAATAACTGAGGTTGAGCATATTTTCATGTGCTTATTGAATATTTGTATATATTCTTTAAAGAAAAATTTATTCAGGTCCTTGCCTACTTTTGAATCAGATTTTTTCATGCTTTGGATACTAGACTCTTGTTAAAGCACTTTAGAAAACAGAAAGCACTTAATAGTTGCTCTTTATGATCATTATCATTATTATCAGAGAAAATTTGAAAATTTCTTCATGGAAAGCTGAGACTATTCTGATCATTTTATAAATATTATTTCTATATATTTAGATTATCTTATATTCAGATATGTACCTTTTACTTGTTTATGGATTCATTATTTCTCTTAGGAGAACGGAAGATGCACAAATGATTGTCTTAGTGTTTGGCTCACTGCTCTGGTTAGGAGCCCAGAACAGTATAAGACAGGTATTTTTTAAATAAATGAAAGAATTTGTTAACTATATAAAGCAGTAAATGTTATTAGTGCTGAAAAAGCATTCATGATTATAATAGCTTAAACGTATAAGTATTTAAGATTTCCCAGTACAAAATTAATATATATGAATCCTCACATAAAATTTAAGCAAAATTAAAAAATTTATTAAAGTGTTCAATATCTTCTCATTTTAAAGTTCCAGGCTGTTTTCAGTGTAATAGAAGGTGAGGTTTGTTGTATTAACTCATAAGGAAATACTTAAAGATTAATTCTTCTTTTCTAAATAAAACAGGTTGTAGCAGATGATTCTGTTGTTTACCAAGGTGTGGTTTCAGGGGTAGCCATGTGATTTGTCTTGGCACAGGACATATGGAGAGGAAACCAGGCATCGTTTGTGGGTAGAAGTATTTTAATTGCTGGTCCTCTTCCCATAGAGCGCACTCTTCCCACTCACACGCTTCCCTTCCAGCAGAGATTGTGGAAACACTCATTGATATGGAGGTACCATAAGATTAAAGTGTTCTGGAACGCCGAGCTCACAAGTGGAAGACAACCTTTCCAAGGAGTACCAGAACCATAGCCGACGTTATAAAGCAACACATTAACCACTGTTTATTTGGGGGACTGTATGGTATAGTGAGATTTAGGAACTGTGTCTTACACCTTTAAAACATAGTCCATTCTTATTTATATAGTGAGTTAAAATATCAATTTATACCTGCTAAAACTTTATAACGAGGGCTGGGGATTTAGCTCAGCGGCATAAGCACCTGTCTTGCAAGCAGGCGGTCGTGAGTTCGATCCCCGGTACCAATAAAAATAAATAAATAAATAAATAAAAATACCTTTATAACAAAGTACTAGTTCTAGGGAAGAAAAGGTCATATTACCACGGGGACTTGAAAATCAGAGAGTAGTGGGGTGGGGATTTAGCTCAGTGGTGTAAGTGTCTGCCTGGCAAGGGTGAGGTCATGAGTTTAATCCCCCGTACAAAAAAAAAAAAAGTACTGTGTCACATACAGGAATGATATTGATGAACTCCAGGTTCCTTTAGGTCAATATTAATTCTAGTGAGAAGATAAACTTTAACAAAATTTCCCTTGTTGATATTTGAGAATAATTCTGAATTATCATCACCAGCTAAAGCTTAAATGGGTTCTAAATTTTGTTTTCACAAGGATGTCTTCTTTGATAACCGTTTCTTTGAGTTATTTCTTCTGGTCATTGGTAGCCTGGGCTCTCCTGGGTGATTTTTTCCCACCAAACGATAAAAATTGGAAATCGCGAGGCAGGTATCTAGATGAAACCATGAGTTCTCGCTTTTCACGTCTTTTGGAATCGGAACCGGTGCTAGAGTAAACACTAAGTTTGTGGGTGGCGCTGCCCTTTTAAAAAAAGTTTTAAAAACTTAAGTGGGGTGGAACGGGAACGCATGGGAGGTGAGTCAACCTTGAATGAAGATTTTAGTACTGTTATCGGTGATAAAGGAAGCATTTTAGGAGTCACCATTTCAGAATAGCATTGGAGAAATTTAAAGGAGGCATTTCCTATTATTGTCCTTTTCTTTGGTATTCTATTAACTTTACTGGGCGGAGGTTGCTGGGGTCATGACAAACAATAAACAGGAGAAAGGGAAACAACTTTCATTTCTAGTGTATTTCCTTTATTATCTATGAAGGGCAAGAGCTTCCAGTTGCTCTGTTCAATTCCATTCAACAAATATTTCTTGAGTACCTTCCAAGTGCCTGCTATACAGTGAACAAAGAATTCTGCCCTTGGGGAGTTTATCTTATAGGTTCTGTTGATCAACCTTCTGAGAAAAATGTTACTTTATTCGTCTTCCACAATGTTTTTCCACACATATTAAAAGTAAATATTAGTTCAAACACACAAACTAATAGCGAAGGACCAAAAGAAAAAATCATACTCGTTTTACTAACAATTTAATTTTACAACGTTCATTTAAATCATACATATGAAAATATAAATCCATCAGATTTGAGATAGACATGATTCAAGTTATTAACTATCCTGTATTTTGTTTCTAGGAGATCAGATTTTTAGGGGCGAAAGCCCAGAGACTTTACTTATCAACAAGGGTCCCTTCCTTCAAAGCCCCCAGTGCAGGCAAACTCAATTTCTCCAGTCCATAAATAATGTTTCTATACGTGCTATAGTGAATTACCATCTTTTCTTCCCGGTAGTGTTGGTTCCACAATTCCTCAGTCTTGGGCCAATGGGTGGTGCAGTTTGTGGGGAAGGGAGCGAGCACTCTACAAAACTTGTGGAAGCGACTAGCACTGCTTCCAAAGAATAGGGAGAGAGGGGGGCTTAAGTTCCCAAGCCATGGTGGGGGCGGCGTGCAGAGGAATGAGGGAAGAGCAGCTGGCATCAGGTTAAAATTGAGCCTGTGCTTTAGGGAAGAGCGGCAGGAGTTGGATAAACCACTTGTAGGGTCAGTCACCACAAGGGAAGGGTGCAAAAGCACTTAGGAAGCAGGAGAATATCAACGCCCCAGACTCGACCCTGCCCGCCCCACCCCAGCCCAACGCCCAAGCTTTGCCGCGGGAGCAGGTCACAGTCCTCCTCCTCCGGGCCGGACGAGACCTCCGCGGCTTCACCACCCACACCTACAGACACCCACGCAAATGACACTCCGCGATCTGCTTCCACACGCTCTGCACGCAAACATCGCGGGTGAAAAGAGGCCGCACAAGTCACGGAGAATTAGGCTGCCCTTTCCCTGGCGATAATCGAATTAGCCTCCAATTACGCGAGAAATTGGTGCTCGCTGGCTCCGGGGACAAAGCCCCAGTGTCGGGCTCAGATCGCCGCAGCAGCAGCAGCGCCCAGTCTGCCGGCCAGCTGCGTCAGCCGCGGGGACGAGGTCCGGGCCGGGCCCGGGAGAGCGCAGCTCCGGGAGCGGGGGCGCGCACGCGGTCTGCTCTCCAGCCGCGCGGGGCGGCGGGCGTGCGCGGGCGTTGCGGGCCGAGCCGGCCGCGGGCGGTGGGAGGAGAGACGCGAGGAGGCGTGCGGGAGGCCAGAGTGCGCGCGCCCGCAGCCGGTGCGCGCTGCGCCGCGCGCTCCCTCTCCCCGCCCTCGCCCCCCCTTTCTCCTCCCCCTCCCCCGCCCCCCGCGCGCCCGCCCAGCCCCCGGAATCAGTGCAGCTGTTGCCGTGCAAGCTGCGGATTCCTCCAGTCCCTCCCTCGGCCGCCTCTCCCGCCGGAGCTAGCGCGCAGCCCCGCGCAGCAGCGCCCACTGGTCCCGTCCTGTGAGCCCCGGCCCCAGCCGCGGACAGCCCCGCGGAGTCACCTCCCGGCCCACCCGCCCGGCCGCCGAGGAGCGGGAGGAGGACGGGACCCCGGCGCCCCCACCCCATCCCTGGAGGTGAGTGGGGGCCCGCGGCAGGAAGGTGCCCGCTCACGGGGCTGACCCCGGGCGGGCGGCAGGAGGGGCGCGGGCCGGGGGCCGGAGGACGCCGCCGCCTGCCGCTGCCCTCCGCCCGCGGAGCGCGTGGGGGCGGGGAGCTGCAGAGCCGGGCGGGGCAGCCGGAGCCCGTCTCCGGCGCGCGTTAGTCCTGGGGTGATGCGGGGCGGCCCCTGATTCCTGCTGGCTCGGACTGGGCGCCGCGGCCCCTGGCGCGGAGGTCGGTGCGCAGTGGGCTGCCGGGGCGGGTATTTTCGGGTGCCCTCCCCCGGCCGGGCGGGGGAGACGGGGCGGCGGTGACAGGGCCGGGCTGCGCGCCTAACGGTGCCGGGGATGCGGCCAGGCGTGGTCCGGGCCGCGCCGTGCTGCAGCTGAGCCGGAGGCGGCGGCCCGCGCCCCCGTCCCCGCTCCTCCCGGCGCTCGCCGCCCCCTCCTGCCGTGCCCTCTCCCGGGGCTGGGCGGGACGCGCGCCGCAGCTCCTGCCACCTTCTCCTCAACAGGTTCGTACCGCGCGGGGACCCTCCGGGCCTGCCTGGAGAGGTGGGCTGGGAGCCGCGCGCCGTCACCCTTCCCTCCCTCCGCCCCCGCGGCCCCGTTTTGGGGGAAGCCTTTTGTTTTTGTGATAGGAGAGGTGCGGAGTGTTGCCTTCAGATGAAGGGGGATATTAATTAGTACGCGAACAGTCGCCCATTATTTTTCCAGTCAAAAACCAGAAGAGATAGACGAGGGTGGATGGGGGGTACTTCGACCGAGGAGAAAAATGGATTCGGTGGGGGTTATTTGGGCGGGGAGGTGCATTTTGGGCAAGATGGATGGCTCGCGTTGCCCTCGCCGTGATGCAGCACAATGCAGCAATCTCGCAGCTTCCCCCGGTGCTAGCCGGCGGGGCTTGGCACGGTCACTTGGCGCCTGCGGCCCCCGCCCGGCCCCACCCAGGCCCAAGGCTGCCCTTGGCTGCGCCCTGAGCGTCTTCTACCTTGTCATGCTGCTGCGGCTGGATGTGGCATCCAGAGGACCAGGTGCCCGAGGTGTGAGGGGAGAGAGGCGTCTTGGTCAGGGTGACCCCTCCTGCCTAGCCTGTTGGCTGTTGCATGCTCGGAGGGGCGCCCTGCAGTACTAATGCAGGCCAGGGAAGCCGGGTTGCAGATGCGGACCTGAGGCAGTTCTCTGACAGGGACCCGAGTCCTAGGGAGGGGCTGCTGGCCCAGTAGTGTGAGCACGCAATGGTGCATGCAGTGTGGGAGTCATGGCTTTTTTGTGGGTCACCCATAATCTAACCACAACCCAGTTGTGCATCGATTTTATTTGTGGAAAGTTGGTGTTTATCAATTAAACCTTTATAGCTGTGACATTACAGTAACGCGCCTGTCTTTGCTCAATATTAAGAAAATGAATTTTTGCTATAGGAAACTATTTTTTAAAATTAAATGATGAACACATTTTAGTTCTTAGATCCTTGAGAAGATTTATAAACATTTTAGCATTCATTAGTCCGTTTTGAAAGAAATTTATGTGATAAATCCTTTTTTGCTGTTTTCATTTGCGTTTTCTGTGAGTCAAGCACAGTTAATTACTTGGATTCTTTATTAAGGGTTATTAGTTAAATGAACGTCGTAATTGATGATAAACGGGTATGCAGACTGCTTTGATTCAGTTCTTCAAGTCTCCAGGCCTGACTAGGATTATGATAGTTACAGACTACATTTATGTATGTTTGTATGTATTTTTTGACTGCATATTTTATGTAGGTATGGCTGAGGAGAGATTTGAAAAAGCAAACCATCAACGCCTCTGGCTGGTATCTGAAGAGGTTCCCAGTGTCACCTGTTTAAGTCTCTGGTAGTAAATAAAAAATTTCCTTTCAAAATGCCATTTTTATTTCGCTTACTTAGTATAGGATGGCAAATGGGATATATTTCAGCTGTCTGCCAAGTTCTTAAATGTGTAGATGAAAAAGGAAATTTCACTGTGTTGATTAGGAGGGAAGGTCAGCCTTTCAAAGCCAAGGGCATGCCTGCTGTATTTTATTTTTTTAAAAGTCTCTCAAGAATTCCAGCTAGTACAGAATAGAACAGTTTGTAAATTGTGTGGTATATATGCATATTTTGAATTTCTCCAATAGAGAGCTGTTAAAATATGGAACCGTTTGGGACTTAGGCTTTTTTATTGTTCTGGATGTATAAAATTAAATCGCTTAAGGTTTTTGTGAGTAATGTTTGCATGGATTAACCAGAAGCTTTGGATTTGGTGTGTTCTGAGGAACACCCTATGTTGAGGTCCAGAACTTTGTTGGGTTAACCTTTGTACTCTGTCCTCTTTGGGGTAAGCAGAATCTGCATCTGAGACAGTGATGGTGCGGAAACTGCACTGGCTCCCTCACCTTCCACTTAGAGGGCTTCTGTGAGAAGGATCTCTTGGGTGAGACTAATAGCAGCTGTTGGTGACGTCCCAGGAGCAAGTGAGATCTCACTCTGCACATTATAATGCATCCTGAGTAGAAATGTAGTATTGACAGTGCTTCTTGGAAGAAGTGGATTACTTTATCTTGTTGTGTGAAAGTGTGATGTACCCTGTGAAAAATACTATTTTGAGATGGAATATTATTTTACTACTAATAAACCTAGATGGGTGTAATGAGTAGAAATCATCAGATGCGGTTTTTATTGAAATAATTTTTAAGCTTTTCATTTAAAAAATGTATATGTTTTACATTTTTACTCATTTTTTGAGATGGGCTTTCACCATGCTGCCTAGGGTGGTGGGCTCAAGTGATCTTTATTTAAGCTTCCTCCTGAGCAGCAGGGAAACCTGGATTACCACTATGCTGGGATGAGTGTATTTTAGAGATAATCTTAAAGCTTAGGTTTTAAATTTTGTTTTTGCTTATTTTATGTAAAATAATGTTTCTTTAATTAAATTGAACCCTGACCAATATCTTCATTATTATTGGGCTTTATTTAATGTTCTGTGTTTATGGGTGCCTTGGTTTTTTCTGCTGAACTGTTGGGAAAGCAACTCATCCTTCCACAAGGAAACTGCTAATACTCTTCATAGAAAAGCTGTGCGTATAGTTAAGTTTTCAGTCTTACATTTTCCGGAAAAACACCTTTCTTTGCAAAGGCCTAATTGAGTACTCTGATTTTTGTGTTAGGAGTTGTGTTGTATTTTGTGTCTTCAGGGTAGGAATGACATCGTCAATCTTTTTTCTACCTTGGTGGCTAAAAAACATGATTCCCATATCAGTATTTTTAAACATCTCTGGAGATAATGTCTTTGTAATGTCTCCGAGTATCTTGGTGAGGTCCATAAAGCAGCACACTAGAGAGATCTGTGATAAATGCCAGCTCCTGAGCCCTACTCCAGACTCCAGTTGGCCTCTGCATTTTAACATGACCACCAAATGGTTGGTAGGAACATTACAGTAAAAATGTTGGCTCTCCTTTTTCAGCTAAACTGCCTCAGTATCAGAAGTGTTCTTCTTGTATCTTTTTTTGCCATAATGTCAGCACATATTTCTTCTTAAATCACTGAATGGTGAGGAAGAAACTGAAGCATTTACTCTAAATTATTTAATATAAAATTTTAATGACTTCTATAATTTTTTTCTTTAATCCAAAATTGGAGAAGTCCTAGTTACTGTGGTTTACTTAGATTAATCAGTGTTTCAGATTCTCCAAAAATTTGTTGCCCTGGAATGAGAGTGACTTTTAGGCAGCATAGATGGAGCCTGAAAAGATAAGCTCTGCGCTCAAGGTCCTTCTACTGCCTGGTCTCCACCCTTCTGGTTCGTTCTTAGAGCTTTTTAAAAACTAATTAGTGGGTACAAAATAATGTTCCTAAAATGTGTGTTAAGGAGTCACAAACCAGTACATACTAAGGCACAGCTACTGCCTAGTTCAGGAAGGTTTCTGAGAGCCTCCATATCCAGTATGAAGCGGCTTCTACCATAAATTTTGTGCATGTTGTTTCCTTCTCTGTAGTTTAGCATTAGATTTTTTTAATTTTCTCTGGTTTTTTACTTTACATGTACAAATTTATATTTTTTGTGAGTTGCATCTTTAACATTACGGTCTCCAAATTCATCCATACCACTCTTGTATAGTATTCTACCAGGGTTTATATATTCCTTCTGTTGTAGATGGTTTGGATTCTTTACAGTTTCCTGCTGCTAAAAAAAGAGTTGTAGTGGTTCATGCCCCTTGGTACACATGAGGAGACAAACACACATTCTATTTTTGTAAGGGGTGAAATTTGCAGGATCATAGGATGTATATGCATTGTCAACTTAGATCTGCTACTTCACCGAATGTTCATTTACCAAACTTTAAAGTCTTACACAGGTGATACTTGTGAAATACTAACTTGTGTTTTTTATTTGTAATTTTGGTAATTGTTGAGGTTAAATATCTACATTATTGACCATTGGGTTCCTTCTTTTATGAAATTCCTATTCACAGTTGTCATTTGACATTGTTCTTGTTGATTGTTTTTCTTATCAAATGTAAGAGTTCTATGGGTAGATTGTCTTCTAATTTCTTAAAGATTGTATCTTTTTTAAGAAAACCTTTTTGTGATTCCTTTACATAAAATATTTGTTTGTAATTTTAGGAGCCAGTCATTTTTGTCCTTTAGTTTGTGAAGATGTTTTTACTGCAGGAAAATCTTCCTTAGTTTAGAAAGAGTGTTGGTTTTGAACTGGAGCAGGTCCAAGTCCTAATCCTAATGATGTCCACTAATGGTAGGTACTAGCTGTGGGCTGGTTGCTCTCAAAACTACAATTTGTCAGAAAAATCAAAACACACTGTATTACTTTGTCCTACAGTTGCCATACGGAAGCAGTGTACTGTCGGGCCGTGGTAGGTGCTGAGATGGTAACAGGGATTTCCCTTCCTCCTGAGAACGCCATAATTCCCCCTTCGCATGAGCCACCAGCAAACCTCTTTGGTATGCTTTGAAATAAAATAAATGGCTTATTCTGTCCCCTGCTTTTAAAAGGCTATGTTGCCAGTGGAATTTCTATGTTAACAGAGGCTGCAATGACCACGTGGTGGAAACTGAAACCTTTCATCAGTTTAGGTTTCTGTACTTGATAGTAGTGTACTTTATTTCTTTTTTCTAAATAGTTCTTTTTACCAGTAAGAATTTTACTATGAATGTTCTCCATTTGCAGCTATTTGGAAATGATTTTGTAATATTGTTTTTGATTTGATAAATAATTATTGGATAGATTCTGTCACAGAGATTTGAAGTTGTAATGTTTATGCGCTGGTTTAAAATTGAAAAAGAACTAGTTCCTGAATCCAAGGGCTGTGTTGTCCAGTATACAGTGTATATTTTGTGTACTATACACAGAAAATAAAAGGGCTTTTATGGACTAGATATGTGAACACAGCAAATCGTTAACTCTCTGGTCTCAATTTAATTTTATAGAATGAAAGACTATTTATAGATCATAGCTACACAGGATGGAGGAGTCATGGGTTAAGGGATCTCCAGCTTTAGGCTTCCCAGTCATACAGCTTCACCCATATGATCAGTGACCTTGGGCAAACTTAGTCTTATCTGTGCTTCAGATTCTTCATTTGTAAAATGGTGGTGATGACAGTACCCACTGAGTAGGATGATTAAAGCTGAATGAGAAGATCCAGTACTATCAGTAAATTTTAATGATTATAAAACAGAATTTTTGCTTAGCTTGTCTCAATTTTATGATTCTTTCAAATAAATTATTTGATTTGTTCAGAAAAGATACATTCCAGTAAATAAATAATGTCAAGTTTAGTATAGTTTTAAATTTG